CGTTTAGCTGCCTTCATCTAGCAGCAAGTAGAGGAACATTCCGAAAAGGGGGCACGCACGCTGCTCTGAAACGATGTCTTCATCTCCCAAGACCCGGAGCTGTTCTATAACCGCATTATAGGGCATCGTCGACGCCGCTGCCATGGCATTTGGCTTCGGCAGCATGAAGACGAACTACTGAAGGATCACTGTTGGACTGGTTCTACATTACCAGTGGTGTTCGTCAGGGCGAAGTGCTGCTCTGTCCTTTGTTATTCAAATCATGGTGGAGTGTATTTTGCGGAATTGCGTCGGCCTAAACGACATTAAGGGACTGACCGTAATTCAGCGACGCAGTTCTGGGTATTCGGCCATGTTCCTAACGGACTTTAAGTACATCGATGAAGTGGTACTGCTCAACGACTATTGATGCAAGGGGACTACTGATGCTCACTGAAAGTGTTAGCATCACCACCTTTATGACACTGAGGCTACAAGTGAACATCAAAAGACGAAGATTAAGAGTGCGCCAATCACGGCTGGTAGTTCAAAGATATTTTGATACACAATTTCAAGTGGCTCAGAACTGCACTGACTGACGATGACGACATTGATCCTGAAATGAATCGGCATATTTGACAGGCAATAGCGAATTATGGCAATGCATGGATGGACAAGCTATAGAAAAGTACACGAATATTACCATTCTGCAAGCAGCCATATTCGCGGTTGTCATGTACAGTCTCGATCCAGAAGCGTCATGAAGTTCTTTTAGATGCTTCCAACAAGCTTTCTGCCTCAAAGTGCGATGGTATCACCGAGTCACGAACTCTGAGAAAACTATCAGACGAACTCAGGGACCGGCGCCTGACTTAATTTGATAAAACGGCCGGAAAACTGGATGAACAAATAGCTAAAACTTATCTCCTTTTAGATGCGCGCACTCGGGATAGATTCATTGGAGCACAATCCAAATGGGGAAAACTTCCTTAAGGCTGACTTGCTTGGGAAGAGGTATATAACTTGCCACTGTATATCGATCTGAAGTACCATTTCTAGCCATCAGACATCATAGATCCGAGTTACTCCGCTGGTTTAGCTCTTTTTACTGTCCTTAATAATCTTTTTTTGTTACGCAGTCAATTACGTTGACAGACTAGGAGTAAAACGGATATTACTAATAGGAGTAATAGGAGTAACACGTCATATTACTTCACAATGTTTCTGGCTTCGATCGAGTTCGACAGTGTATTGCGCTCTCAGACACGCTGTACAGTTGAGTTGCTCGGCCACAATAGAACTAATTTCGACACATTCTCGATTGTTGTTCTTGCCTGATCCTTCTTTGCAAGTAACGGGGATTCTAATTGCTTTGTATCGATGCCAACGTTTGTCTGTGATTTGTCGCCACAAGCTTTTATATCCTTTATCATGTCATACCTTTTATATATTTCTTTCTGTTTGATTATCATTGATAGCACTTGAGTTAATTGATGGATTCGATCTTCTCTATTTAGCGTGTGAGATTTACAAGTGCCAATTTGGAAAGCTGTCCGATTTCCAGATAGTGGTTATGCATTGAGATTCTTAGCACTCCATTGTAGAACCATAATCACTGGACCACCGTCGTAGTTCGCCTTAAGCTGATCCAACTCGGTGACTGAGGGCTGATTTCATTTGTACACTTCAGTTCATTGAATCTTGACAAATAGTTTTGGCTACTGTCTACGCTTGCCAC